TCTCTCTCTCTCTCTCTCTCTCTCTCTCTCTCTCTCTCTCTCTATATATATATATATATATATATATATATATATTGAGTTAGTTTAATGCATGATTTGTAATTCTTTTTTTCCATTTCTTGCTTTAAATTTTAAATCATTGCCATATTGATGGGTAGATTTTACCTTGATATTATTTGTGATTTTAGATCCATAAACCAAATCAATGGGAAAAGTCCATTGCTCCCAAACCAATTTAATATGTTTTTGTTGCATGAGTTAGTTTACTTGCATGATTCTTAATTTTTTCTTTTCAATTTTCTTTAAAGTTAAATCATTGCAATATTGAGGTGTAGGTTTTACCTTGAGTTTTTTGACATTATTTTAGGTTTTTTTCCTTGAGCATGCTAGCTTTACTTTTTCCTTGGAATCTCAAAATATTGAGAAGAAGCAATATATTTATTGAGAAGAGACAATATAAGTGTAATGAAAATTAAAATTCGCAAGTTATGGCTAGTAAATTTCATTCTTTTAATGTTACTTTCAGCTATTTTATTCACAGTTCAAAGTCATGCATGTTATTTTGATATGTAGGTCATTAGAATAAAATTATTCACAAAAAACTACAAAACCATGTTTATTAAACGAACAAAAATGATACTCTATACTAAAAAGCAGTGGCGTCCAATAGTCGTAAGGGTCAGGAGCCCCTCATTATGCAGTCCGCCTAGGTATCAGGGCAGCCGCATCCGCCTTTTTTTTGAACATTTACTGCTTCTTTTTTACAAATCAAGTTAATGTATGAACAAAAATATTCAAATTAGCATATTTATTTCCCTTTTCTGATTGAAAAATAAAAGGAAATACAGAGGAATAAGAATGCAAGATCACTTCTCAAGTTTCTCAATTCCGCACAGTAGTAATTAAAGCAATAATTTGAGTTACTCATCGTCATAAACAGGCTTAACAAAACTGTGCAAAAACCATGTTAATCGAAAGTCGTTTCAACGATGACTAATTTATGAATGAGCAAAGAGAATATAAGAGAGATGGAGAAGACTGACCTCATCACGCTTCTTTTGAAGCTCTAGAAGCTCTTGGCAATAAGTAAGGCATTCGGCATGGTATGCATCAGCAAGCTCTTTAATTAAAGCCTTCCTCCTTATAATTCCAATCACTGTAAAATGAGAATAAAAAAGAAACAAAATTAGATAAACAATCAATCGCAACCTAAAAAATAAGGAAAATTTTAAAATAAAATCAAAGTTAATCATGCTACTCGAAACGAAGCCATAGAAATTACTGAAAACCTAACATTCTAGCAAGAACGGTAGAAATTCAATTCACTGAAAAATCACAGGAAATTGCTATGAAATTTCTCAAGAATATAATAAAAAAAAATCCCTACAAACATTAGGACGTGGAGAACGAAAAGGTTACTTTGAGTTGGATCAAATTGCAGAGTGGTCTCTATGGTATTAGTTGCGCCATCGTGGATATCAGCTTCTCCCATATTTACAGATTCGAAATAGGAAATCTAGGGCTAGGGTTCCTCTCTCTCTCTAGGGCTAGGGCTCCTCTCGCTCTCTCTCTCTCTCTCTCTCTAAAATCCTCTCTCTAAGGTTTCTCTCCCTCCAATCGCTTTCTCACAGACTTCGCTCTCCCTGCGCGCCAGCCTTTGTTTTACTTTCGGTTACGCGCCTTGCGGTCATTCGGGCACGCCCGCATACAAACCGCGTCCACGTTTCAAAACCCGAAATCTGGGATGGTGCCCACGGTTTTAATCTGGATCTTGACAAGTGATCGAACTAGTTTGGAACCTCAATTAGTACCGTAAAATTAAAAAAATCAAATGATCTAATTTTTATCCGGATTATCAATTTGGATGGGAACCAACTAGTTATGGGATGGTAATGAGTCTAGACGCGGTTCCCTCCTAAACCTAGCTTGTACATAGTTTTTTTTTTTTTTTTGGAATTTATTTAGTATTTTATTAGATCCCCTCTATTTTCCTACCCTACACACATCTATTTTAATTTTATTTATATTTTATTTATTCTTAAACATTTTTTTATATCACTGATTTGGACAGATCTAAATCCATTCTAAACCTCCAATCCAGCAATTCCACATAAGTTTATGGGTAAATAATGTGCCCCATTTATCAGAGTTTTAAAACATTGGTAAGAATAATTAAAAAAAAAAAACTAGGCATTCTAGAAGGTGACTTGATTGCCCACCAACCAAAATTGATCTAGATCGATGGTTCTTGATCCGAGCTTTTAAAACCCTGGGCAATGTATACAAGTCTTTTGCATGTGGTATAATAAATTTGTAACCACCCTAGCTATCAAATGTGATATGAGGAGGTTAGGAGTGTGAGGTGTGTGATTACATAAAGCATGAGAAAAAAGTTTTTGGACTTTGTGGAGGGGTCAATGGCACATTCTTAGCCCTTCACATTTGATAGGCAATATGGTTATGACCTTATGTTGAAGATAAATGGCCTTGTTAGGTACTTTTCTACGGCAAATTGGTATCATGAGATAGGAAAAGAGACTAGGCTTAATTGGTTAGCGCTTGATAATTTATAATGATACATCTTAGGCTCAATTCCTACAATTGTAGGAGCCCTCTCCCTACTGACTAACCCAAAAAAATTTGGTATCATGAGATACTAATATTTTAATGTTGAGGGGACTATATGATATAAGATTATTTACCACGACAAGGAGGTTACAATCATTCATCAAACATAAAATCTAATATCTTGGAATATGTCATAAAAAATAAAAAAAATTTATATCCATTCTATATGTGGTTGTGAAAATAATGTCCTAAGATTGACGTGCAAATCGCAAATTTTCTCACTATTCAAAACAATGGATTGGGCCGACTACTTGGTCCGAGCCCGCTCCGATTTGTCCGACCGATTTTGACTAGATCGACCGATTAGTGCTTTGATTTTTTTTCTGAAAAATGTAATTTTGGTAAAAAAATCCCAAAAAAGATTGTAAAAATTGTTTAAAATTTACATGTATTTTTTTTTATATTATCACATAAAAAAGTAAAAAAAAATAAATATTATAAGTATAATCGAGTTTCAAAGAAAATGATTAGGCACCTGAAGAAATACTTTTTCACTGATCAATATATAATAAATCTATATTATTATATATAATATGTAATCAATATATACCATATAAGAATAATTACATTAATAAAATAAATATAAATATATAATATAATATAACATGATATAATATTGTAAAATATAATATTTCATCTCAAGACCAAGTTTGTTTTTTAGGTATTTTGGAATTAAAAATGTAGGTAAAATATAAAATTGTTCATCTCTTTGTGATAATTTTGATAAATTACCGTCTCTAACTCATATTTGTGTCTATGAGCATGTCTTTGTGCCTCTCAGAGGGTTGGTGGTATAGTATTAGATTGAAGATCAAATCAGATGAACAACGAATAATTTTTATTTCCCCGAGTTGAGGCACCTATGGGGTTGGCACCCTGTCGGGCCTGACCAAGTGTATCTGAGTCTGCTCACCCAAGGCGGCAAACCTTGCAGTTAGCAAATAAAAATTTTATAGTAATATATAAAGTTTTAAGTAGACAAATAGAAGAAAGAAAATTGTTTCATGCGGGCCGGACCGCATTTCTACAATATGCGGTCTAGAGGTATAAAGCATCCATCTTAAAGATGATGCAAATAGGTAGTCCATCTAAAAATAAGTGTAACTAATGGTCCAAATATTTTCTTAATATAATTATTATTTCTAGTTTTCAAAGTATTATTATTCTTTTCATAGTCATAATTTCCATGTTAAAGATTATATAGTCTCTAAAATCAAGATCAACTTATATTTAATAAAATATATTATTGCCAAGCATGTATTTCTACAATATGCAGGCTAGCTGCATAGAAACCGTGTCCATAGAAGAATATGGAAAAGAATCAATGAGAAATATATAAAAAATATTATAAGGACAGCTTTGCAGACTATGCATTATGATAGTGCACTTATCTGACAGTGCACTTGCCGATTTGATTTTAGAACAAATCGCCAATTAGTCAGCCGATTAGTGCACTGAACAAAAAATTCCTACATACATGACCATTGGAATCGGGCCAGATTGAGATTGGCCAGTGACAGATCCCGAGTTAGTCGGCCGGTTTTTTTAAAATCGGCCAATCTTTTAAACACTGCAGTTTTTTGGATGACATGATTTGAGTTCTTTTTTTTTAAAATACTTATTTAGTAATTCTAGAGTGGATCTTAATGACGTCGTGAGGATACTTGGAACTTATGCTTTGCCTAGGGTGTAACTCTATGATTTGTATTTTGTCCATTTTTATTAAATGAAAAATGGGTAGGAGGCATTCTCCCCCAATGACTTACCAAATAAAAAATGAAAAAATAAACCAGCTTTCATGTTTGGTTCTTGGGAAGCACCTGCATATATTTGGACATGCTTGTCGTCATTTTGGATTCTCATTTGCTTTTCAAAGCTCTTTAGCTTGGACTCATCTATAAAATGCATGATGTATGTATAATGCATATTATAGACATAATAAAAAAATGAAATCTCTTCCTTTTTGGAGAACAAGTAGCTTGTTCTTGAGCCTGAAAAAGATCATGGAACCTTGCCAAAACCACATCCATCTTGTTTTAATTTTTTTCATTGGCTATTGCAAATTGGGTCATTGCTAAGTATAAGTTCTTCATGGTATCATTCTGGAATGACTTATCAATTTCACACTATAAAAGTGAAGGAGTGTAGAGCGCGCATACGATGTCTCCAGCAGCAAAATTTATAATCGATCAAACCACTTTGTCTTTTTCCAAAATTTTAAATTTTAGAATTCACTTTAGAATTATCATCTTCAGAAGAAATTTGAGTACCAAACACCCAAATCAAACCCTTCAGAAGTTGGATAGTCTTTGTGCAACTTTGTACCACAATTTCTTAGTAAAATTACAAAATTCCCCCAAAGTGTACTATTTATGTAACTTACCCCCAGCTAATATTTTCTGTCACGTTTTCCCCACAACCACCTTTGATAGCAAAAACCCCCAATCCAAAAACAAAGAAAAAAGAGACTAAACTACCCCCTCTCTCTCCTCGTGGTTTTTACCCGCAACTCTCTCCTCATGCGCTCCAGCAGTCCATTTAAACGCTCCGACATTGAGGACATGTACTCCGGCAATGCAAGGACTCGCTCCGACAGTAAACCTTATGGAGCCAAAGCGTTTGGCGGTTGGATAGGTCGCTCGGCAATGAGGACACGTGCTCCAACAATGCAAGGACTTGCTTCGACAGTACACTTTTTGGAGCCACAATGCTCCGACAGTTAAATAGGTTGCTCCAGCAATGAAGACAAGAGCTCCGGCAGTACAAAGACGCACTCCGGCAATACACGTTTTGGAGCCACATCGTTCTGCAGTTGAATTGATCGCTCCGGCAATATACTACTTGGGACTGCCAATTGACTCTTTTTTTTTTTGTACGAAAAGGACATTTCCATCTAAAAACTAGCCATTTTTTACTTTGAGGGGGTTTTTGCGAGAAAAGGTGTTTCTGTGGAAAAAAGTGAGGGAAAGGATTAGCTGGGGGTTAAGTTGTATAGATAATATATTTGGGTGGGGGGGGGGGGGGTTTGTAATTTTCCCTAATTTCTTTATACAATTATGTAATGTATGTATATTGAAACTTTCTAAAAAATAAAATAAAATTTTCTAAAAAATATAAAAAATAATAAATATATTTGTAACATATTTATTTATGTTTTCTATCATTTTGGCAAATATTGGAAAGTATTTTGATCATGAATACTTATTTTAACATTTTTTTATTTTTTTGAAATTTTTGCAAAGTCTCATTTTCTAAAAATCTATTTTTCACTACTTTTTTTTTTACCATAATTAGTTGTTTTTTTGTTAGATTTTACTTTGAATATATTTTTTGAGTTTTTTTTGTATTTTTATTTTTTAATAATTTTCGAATGCTACAGTGCTCAAGCCCTACTCGAGTTCAGGCAAATACTCGGCTGGGGGCATGGGCCAAGCAGTCGGCCCAAATCGACACCGCTCAAGACACATCCCAAAATTGGAGTCAAGTACGCCAACTGAGGAAGAAAAAAGACGTATTTTAAAGATAAATTGGATATCCAAAGTCGAAACTAGTGAATACTTAAAAGGAGAATGGTTTGATATGGCTGCAGCCCTATTTAAATAAATAAAGCCTCACCTCATATTTCATCGAAAATTACCATTCAAATATTGGAAAACCTTTATATCGATCATCTCAACTTGAACATATTAGTTGTGAAAAAAATTAGGACTTTAAGCTTTAAAAATTGTGTATTTTGTAACAAATTATCTATACTGTCCACTTCACCCTAAAAATAAATGTTTATAGATCCACAAGATCTATATACAATATTTTTTAGTTTCAAAATTTATTATTAATATTGAAAATTGATTTTAGAGCCATCATAAATATGTCTTTTGTCAAAAGTGCTTTCCGAAGAGAATTTAAGGTGGGACTTTATTTTGTTTTCATAAAACAGACTTCTTATAGAAACCTCATCCATATTTAAATATTAAAAAGGACCATTTGCAGTCAATGGGAAATTAGGAACCCTTTGTTTCGAACCTTCTTGAGATGCCCATTGACTATCTTTTGCTAACAGGCCCAACCAAAAACGTGAGAGAAATTGGATTGGAGATTTAGAAAGAGATTTGCATGAGTTTAAAGCATTTTTATGTGAGAGCGCCATCCATCGAACTCGCGAGATTCTTATATGAGAGGATCATTCATCGAACTAGCAAGGGGTTTAGTCTAGTGAAAAGTAGAATAAATCAGTGTCAAACAATTAGATATAATTTTTTAAAAATAAATATGAATAAAACAATAGTTAAAATATGAATTACATTTAAAAAAAGAAATTTCTCAATTTTGTAACCGGTTAAAACCAACCAGTCTGACGGACCAAAACTAATTATCGAATCGACTTGGGTTCGGGTCGCTCAGGTCTCGGACAGTGGCCTGGCCTGTAGGTCCAGGTCTAGTTTGAGAATCGAGTATATATTATACAATCTATTGCATGTACTGCAAACAAAATTCATTATAAAATTTAGTGCTTTTGATATGCAACTAAGAAATTAACTCTTCGACATTTTGCCGATCTTGTTTATTTAATTTCAAAATGCCCGAATAGTACAAAAAGGCAAAATGTTGAACAGTTAATAAAAAGTGAATTTTATTTGGAATTTGGATAGATCTTCCTCTAAAATTTAAAACTTATTTTATTGCCATTATGAATTTTCAAAGTAAATTTACATATGAATCTAGAAATTATAATTTACAGTTAGGAAAGCTTATTATATGAATTTGTACACCATTTAGCTCAGGTCTGACTTGTCCGAGCCCGCTTCGGATCAAATTTGGGTGAGGGGACTTGGACCCAATTATCAAGATGTGCCAAATCAGGTCCAACTCCTTAGGCGTGGTAGCAGGTTGAGTCGGGTCACCCTAATTAGGAACCACGCTAACTAGGTTTCACATGGACCCAGTCATTTAGATCCAAACCCAACCAGGGTCTCGGAATTTAAATAATAATAATAATATTTTTGATATTATATAATATATATGGATCTCGTCGACCTCAACCAAGTCCAAGCCAGACCCGGACCCAACTCAACCCGGTTTGGGTCCAAGTCACTTGGACGCTACCCGATCCGCCGGGTCCAACAAATGGACCCAGACCAGTTCGAGTCGACCTAACCCAATCGCCACCCCTAGAACTCCCCAACCATGCATTCGGATTGGGCTCGGGTCTAGATCCTTGTCCACTAGGGGTGGCAACGGGTTGGGTCCAGCTGGACCTGGTCTCGGACCCAAAAAAAATTATGGGACCCAGACCCAATTGGACCCTACCCAAAAATAATATATATATATATATATATATATATGTTATGTTAAATATATATGTTGTATTATTCAAATAATATAATTAAAAGTATACAACTATATTTATTTATGGGTTTAGTTTATATAGAGCCGAGGCTCTAAACAATCAAATTAGAGCCCACCTACAAATATTATCGAAAAATGTGGATTCAATATTGAAAATCTTTGTAATAGCCTTAAAATATATTTTCATCTTTAGTTATAAAATTTAAAGCTTAAAAAATAGTGTAAATCAAGCAGATCTATCAACTGAAAATCATGAAAATTGAAAATCATGAAAATTGGAAATCATGAAAATTGACGGTCAAAACATGCGTTACAAGATGAAATATTTCAAAAACTTGAAATCCATTTTTTTTAGGGAAAATTACAAAAAAAAAAAAAAAAAACCTAAAGGATACTTTTTGTGCAATTTACCCCCAATCCAACTTTTCTCTCACTCTTTTATCCAAAATGTGTACTCTATGCAAAAACCCCCAACCAAATAAAAAATAAAAAAATGTCTAAACTACCCTCCCTTACTTTTACCTTACCCATGCCTCTCTCTCCTCTATCCACCAAAATAGGGGCTTTGGCACCGCGCAATTGCGGTTCGGCAGTAGTACTCCAACAGTGGGGCTCCAGCACTATGTAAAGTGCAGTTCGGCCATTAAAAAGGGCGGTCCAACAGTTGCAAAGGGCGGTCCGTCGGAAGTTGCAAATGCGGTCCTACAGTTACAAAGGGCGGTTCGACAACGGTCCCGCAGTTACAAAGGGCGGTTCGACAACGGTCCCGCAGTTACAAAGGGCGGTCCGACAGTTACAAAGGGCGATCCGACAGTTGCAAAGGACGGTCCGACAGTTGTAAAAGGCGGTCCGACACTTGTACGCTTCAGTAATGTAATAGTGCGCCCCGACAATGTGCTACTGGGTCCAAAAGTCAACATCAAATCCGACCAAAATGATTTTTGTGTACGAGAAGGGCATTTCCATCTAAAAAGATGAACTTATTCCTGGGGGGGATTTGCATAGAAAGTTTGTTTTGGGGAAAAAAGTAATAAAGAAAGATTGGTTGGGGGTAAGTTGTGGTCGTCGGGGTTTTTTGTAATTTTTCTTTTTTTCTTTTTTATGTCCATGCATCTTGATATCAAGATAATCAATTTGAGGATATTTGGGCATCAAAACAACCACTTCTAGTAAATTTTTTGAAGTAGGATCTAATTTGCTTGTTTAGAGCCTAGGATCTACATAAACTTTTCCCTTTGTTTATAGGTTATGGTTTGTATAGAGCCTAAGCTCTAAACAAACAAATTAAAGCCTACCTACAAATAGTGTCGAGAAATGTGATTTCAATACTGAAATCTTTTTGATGCCTTAAAATATGTTTTCATCTTTATTTAGAAAGTTTAAAGCATAAAAAATAATGTAGATCCATAGATCTATAAAAACTTGAAAATAGACAGTAAAAAAATGCGTTACAAAATACATTATTTCCAAAACTTGAAATCCATTTATTTCTCATGTCGATGGATCTTGATAGCGAGATTATCAATTTGAGGATATTTTGGCATCAAAACTACTTCTTCTAGTGAAAATTTTGAGTAGGCTCTAATTTGATTGAATAGAGCCTCGACTCTATATAAACTTTTCCTTATTTATATAGCATTAGAATATTATATATTAAATATTATTTATATAATACTATTATTCGGGTTAAGTCTACGTGGACCCGGACCAACACTTGAAGAGTGTTTGGGTCAAATATGCAGACCCGTACCCAACCTGTTTGGTTCAATTCTTGAATCCATACCCAGACCTGGATGTTGGGTCCCACAACAGGGCGGGTTGGGCCCATTTTCTACCCAACGAGCAATCTTAAGTCTGACCTCCACAACGCACGTGCTTTCGTTCAGGGGTGCTGACGACAAAGGTGCAGCTGAATTGTTAATGTAAGAACATTCAAAGCTCACAAAATGGTCGCACCTTGGCCTGTAGGAACCTTCGAAGACGCGGTTGCACCAAAATTTCCAGCTCTGTGGATAAAAAGGCGACTCTACTTCTACCCCTCGTTCATCACAAGACCCCTATTTCCAAAATTTATCGCTCTAAAAAATCACATCGTCTTGCAAAATCTAGAGAGAGAGATTATAGTTTTCCTAATTGGTTTTGTTTGTATGTATGATGCCTTGCTTTATCCCCTTCAGCAACAACAATCTGCAAATCACTTTCTTTGCTTTCAAGCCCCATGGAGGGTGTGGAGCAGAGTTGGTTGACTCACTCAAACGCTTCTCTTTCTGGTCTGAGGCCCTCGGGTGTGCCTATGCAGCTGTTTTCAAGAGCATCCATGGGAACCTGGTGTGGCCTCTCTCTCTCTAACCTTTCTTGATTGAATAACCATCTCTCTCTCTCTCTCT